TATTGCGACGAATAAAACCGAACCGATAAAAACATAGGTTTGATGACAGATATAGGTGCTTCTATAAAGCAGATGGACAAACAATTTCTCATAGTGAACGAAGTTTTTTAGTTTTCTCTATGATCGTTCGGTCAAATGACTTCCCTGTGTAAAATAAGTTTGATTTCTGTTGTTCATTAATGATGTGTTAATAGCGTGTTATATGCAACAAACTAAGCGGGGGAGGGGTGGGAGGGGTTCAAAATGTCAAAAGTGTCTTTTACTTCTGTTGTCGCCACATTTGAAACAATTTACTGGCGAATACCAGTAATGCTGCTAGTTTAAATATGTTTACAAATATTATTCGGATAATTAAACTTAAGCCATTTATATATCGTTAGTAATAGTTTTTCGCTATTGTATTGAGTTGCTTAGTTAATTATCAACTTGAAGTTGATAAAGGTAAATTAACCGCCGTAGCGAATTTGAAAAGCTGACGTTTAGCGTCAGCCCTTAGCCGGAGCCAAAAATATATTAATTTTGAGTTGATTAATTTTTCTTTTTTAAGTCATTTTAATTGTTGATAATTATTCCAATTTTAACATGTACATATTATAATTTTACCGTTTAATATTAGATGCACATGTATGTTAAATGCTCCTCAGCGTGACGTGTTTAAATAAATGATTTCTCTATAACATCCGTATTGAAATAAACAATTCTTGTTGTTTGCTGTTATAGTAATTTCCATGAACGCCTTTCTGGGTATTCACGCTAATTTATCATGTCTGCTGCTAAAACCATTCGGCTGGGTTACACGCTTTATAATATCATGGAGTCAAGGAAAATTATTTAAATTTTACCAAAATTTCAGTAAAACTATTCTACAATGTCACTCGTCACAATATTTATTTTTCGTTCTAGCCAACCAATTAGAACGGAACAACTTATCTTTTCAGCCAATCAAGTGGAAAACCAAAACATTTGACACGCGACTTTTCCCGCGCTCGCCACTGGTTGCAATTACATTTTTTCCCGCGCTTGCCACTGGTTACAGCGCACAATGTTTTCCCGCGGTTTGCACTCAGTTACATAATTTCCGGCGGTTTCAATTGGTTACACGGTTTTCCCGCGCTTGTATCCATTTGCATGTTTTCCCACGCTGGGTTTATAATTGGAGAGAAACTTCAATGTGCAAATGATAATATTGGGGCGTTAACTAGAAATGAACATGCCAACTTCAAACACAACAGCAATAAACCTTATTGAAAATGGAATACCGTACCTCATACCAGTTTATAGTTCATACGGTAGTTTATAGTTCATATCGTAGTTAATACTGTAGTTCCCAAATATAAGCCCCCGGGGGCTTATATTCGGAGGGGCTTATTTTAGGAGGCTTTTTTGCGTTTCGAATTTGGGGGGCTTATATTCGGAGGGGCTTATATACGGAGGGGCTTATTTTCGGAATTTTACGGTATAAGCCCTACCATATCTGAAACACACAATTCCTTCAGATTATAAGCACCCCCCCCCCCCCCCCCCTAACCTGGATGGGATGCTAGTCCATCACAGGTAACCCCCAGCATCTTTGCCAGGTTACCCTGACAATTCACCAGTACCCATTTACTCCTGGGTGGAGAGAGGCACTATGAGAGTATAAAGGTATCTTGCCCAAGAACACAACACAGTGACCCAGGCCAGGACTCGGACCCAGACCACTCAATCCAGAGTCCAACGCGCTAACCATTAGGCCACCGCGTCTCCCATGAACAAAAGAAATCCTTTACCTGCATTAGCTGCTCGTTAGACACTTACAATGCATTTTCGTTACCTGTTTCATGCCAGGGTATATCTGCTGTTTCATCGTCTGCCTTAAATTCTTCACTTTCCATCAGCTCCAGAAAAATCCTCCCGAGGCCTGCAGTTGCGCACCGGTCAGACGGCTGAGAATGTGGGCATGTAGGATGGGTCAGCGGTAGGGTATCGGCGTGGGTAACTTAAGAAGCAGCAGACGGACGACGGGAACGATAAAGAGTGGTAATTACAAGAGTCCGCTAAAAAATCAAATATAATTATGTAAATTAAAAAAATATATAATTAATTAACACTGGAAAGGGAAAAAAAAACGATTAGAAGTATTGTTACAGTCTTACTAATGCCAAAAACTTGCACAACTAAAAATATTTTGTACAATTTGGTGCAAACTTCTTCAAAAGAACACATTTTTTAACAGACGGATTAGGGCATGGGGAAGGGTAAGTATCGAAAACGAAGGTCACTCGAAAACGAAGGACCGAAGGCACGAAGGCAACCCTGTGAAGTCGAAAACGAAAGCACATGAACTCGAAAACGAAGCACCCTAGAACTCGAGAAACGAAGCACCCTGAACTCGAAAACGAAGCACCCGAACTCGAAAACGAAGCAGGCACCCTTACCCGGTTACTCCAGTCGGGATTTAAATTCGAAAGTCCGGTAAAGCCTAAACCTCGTCCCAGAGACCAGAGACTCTATGGGTAACTTCAGACTACGTGATTTCCTCGCAATTTTTTTTGCAAAATCTTCGATTTTTTTTAAAGCAAATCTTCGTTTTTCCGCCCGCTTGATGATTGCATCATGGATACATTTTTGTCCATTTTCAGTCTTGAAATGTCTTTGTGGCAAGTTATTGTTGATCTCGCCATGCAATTCCAAAAATTTAGAGATACTTCAGATAGGACGATCGAGCAGAGATGACAGATAATCTTTCTGACCACGCGAATTTTTAAATCTTCGCTTACACTCTTGAGATCATCGTTGTTTTTTGCGGTGATCGTCGCATCTTCGATTTCTTCGGAAATACCCATAGAGCTGACTCGTCCCCAGTCGTCTCTCTTGTCTCCTGTTATATTAACGAGAAGAGAAGTCCTTTGTTGGGAATGGCAAGTCGCGGGGGATGCTGGGAAGGAGGAAAGCGAGGGAGAGAGACGACTGGCAGATCCTGTGTCGAAAAGTTGTGCCAAGAGTCGAAAAGTTGCGCGAGGCCGTTTTTCTTCGATTATTTCTTTTCCATGCACTCAGAGTTGTGGAATGGCGTAGTTGACGAAGTTTCAGTGATGTCTGGCCGTTAGAAAGGCATTTTTTACGGGTGTATTTAATAGAACATCAGCGAACCGGTCAAGACGCTTGCTAAAGTCGAGTTACTCGCGATGTTTACAACCCTTCGACGACATAAGCTTACAAGCAGAAACGCGCGCTGAACATTTGAAGAGAGGAAGTATGATTTTGTATTTATTGAGAGGTATGGATCCCTAAATTAAACCTTAATTTTGTATTACAATATTGATGTGTCGTCGTGTAAGTGTGCGAGTCATTTTCTCTGTGTGATTTGAGTGCCGCGAATGCTACGTAATTTATATTCCTGGCCGGGTTTTGCAATTTTAGCTGAGCCGCTCGTTTCCAGAATAAATTGGCACTGCAAAGGTACAACTTTTCGGCCGTAAGTTCATTGAGAGATATAAAGGCCTGAAGTGCGGATCTTGAAAATATGAGATTTTAAATTTAGCTGTCATGATCAGTTTGACCCCTTGACCCAAATAAATCACAACACTTCCACAGGAAACTGTAGGACACCACAGAGCGAAAGGAAACAGACGTTTAACAACGTAGCTTTCAGTTGAAGTTTGACTTTCTCGTGTAAATGAGAAATAAATACAAGTTCGTAGACGCCTTAAGGGAAGTATTTGGAAAACGATCTAGTTAGTCTGAGGTCTCTGTACCAGAAGTAAACGGCAATCGTCGTAGAACTGCGTATAAGAGTTGTGTGGTGTGCAAATAAGACTGTACTGTAAACAAAACCTCGCGATTGTTTACGGCAGAGCAGATTTTAGCTTCAAAGGCGGCGGAAAGCGTTCTCTTTTAATAGCGCCTATTTCATCAAAACGCCGCCATTGCTCTGTCCGCCATCTTGGAAACAGGATCTGCCAGTCGTCTCCCACCTTTCCTCCTTCCCATCACCCCTTGCGCTCCCCTCGGCCGCGCTAAATATTAACAGGAGACAAGAGAGACGACTGGGGACGAGTCAGCCCATAGAGAGGCTCTTGTCATGTCGCCACGCATCTTCTCGATACCGGATAAAAGCGTTGCGTGACTACCCAAAGAATATATAGCTGCAAGGACTACGTTTCGCCATTTATACAAGTAAGCGGTCTGAAATTTTTGTTACTGTGGGTTGCAGTCGTTCTTTTTAAGATACAGTATAATTACAAATTATTCAGTGTTCGTGTTTTGGTGGACGCGATTTTAAATACACCACTGGAGTAACCGGGTAAGGGTGCTTCGTTTTCGAGTTCAGGGTGCTTCGTTTTCGAGTTCGGGTGCTTCGTTTTCGAGTTTAGGGTGCTTCGTTTTCGAGTTCGGGTGCTTCGTTTTCGACTTCAGGGTGCTTCGTGCTTCGGTCTTCGTTTCGAGTGCTTCGTTTTCGATACTACCCATGGGGAAGGCTGGTAACCTAAGTCAAACTTCAGGTCAATAAATGCAGTTCTATATCTCAGGTCTGTGGATGAAACCCTAGTGTGTGACCATTCAAATGAAAGCTATTGAGCAGTACTTTCATGTGGTACTGTTTATGATGCTGTACAAGGTGGTTCTACCTTTTAAGTCTGTGGATGAAACCCTAGTGTGTGGACCATGCAAATGAAAGCTATTGAGCAGTACTTTCACGTGGTACCGTTTATTGTGCTGTACAAGGCGGTTCTAACTTGTACGTCTGTGGATGAAACCCTAGTGTGTGACCATTCAAATGAAAGCCATTGAGCTTTCCGCTCTCTCGCGCTTGCTTCGCGATCGATAAAGAAAGAAAGAGGGACTGCTCGCAGTCTACTGCGTTATTCGATCTTTTTGTTTTCGTTTTTTCGTCCCAGCGGGTAATCGGTCGCTTTTCCGGTCGTAGGGCAACGACCGGAAAGCGAAAGCTTTCCGAGCGAGGCACGAAGTACTGGGAGTACGGTAGATAATTCACGCGTTGAATGACGAAAGTCGATTGAAAGTCGTGAATTATCTACCGTTCGACTCTTCAATAGAGTTTTGGAACATTTCAGGAACATTGAATCTTATCTTCACTCTGTTGATGGGAGTACTGTGCAAGCGGCCATTGATGACTTGTCTGACATGATAGTAGTTGATACAAGGAAGGCATCAGGTAGGGATCATTGCTTGGTGCTTAATCTCACTATCAACAAACATATTCTCCTCGCTGGAATCCACATATTTCTTATTGTACAAGTTGGGAGAATTTTATCCTTACAAACAATGTTGATAATTGCTTCTCAAGAAAAGATTATCTTGCAACTGAACTAGCAAAGCCTTTTGCCTTAACGCAGTACAAGGAATTTATATATTGGACAGATTGGAAACTAAGCTCAATCTACCGCGCCAACAAAACCAATAGAATGGACAGGACACGAATCAAGGGCAACATGGAGTTCATTATGGATATTCTGGTTTTTCACAGCAGTAGACAAGAAGGTTTGTACTGTAATGTGCAATGTCATTTGAATGGTCACACACTAGGGTTTCATCCACAGACTTAAAAGTTAGAACCACCTTGTACAGCATAATAAACAGTACCACATGAAAGTACTGCTATATAGCTTTCAGTTGAATGGTCACATACACTAGGGTTTCATTCACAGACTTAACAGTTAGAACCACCTTGTACAGCATAACAAACAGTACCACATGAAAGTACTGCTCAAGGAATTCCCGCTGGGACGAAAAAAACGAAAACAATAACGTAGTAACGCAATACACCGCGTATGAAAGCAAACAGATCGAAACTCGTAAAGGTCACGTACGTATAAAGCATTTGGATCGAAACTGGCACAAGTCAAATTTAGCTCCTCTGCTCCCTGTGATATGTGTGTATCCATTTTTCCGTACACTATTACGTTTCCAATTTATTTCAATAAATTTTCAGTTTAGACAATATTTCCAACAATTTAACAGCAATTTTTTCCAACAGTGGAGGTTTCCTTTAAAAAAGGCTTATAAATAAAGGGGCGAGGGTAGTTACTTTGTGTTTTGAAGCTTCTCAGATCGCAAACTTTGGCTGGTCGTTACTGTCGGATAGTCAAATCATTTTAACAACTGCTGAGTAATGAGCTCGGTTTCCGCTGGCACTCTCTTGAGGAGCGTGGGCTCATTTTCCCGAACAGCGGCTGGTAATCGAGCCTACTGAGTGAGTAACCATTGTCTTTTACCACATATCTTTAACTCGGTGTTCTATTCAGCCCCGGTGGGGGGTACTCCCAAAAAAAATTTGGTGGGGGTGTGCGGCACACTTCTTGAAACCCTTACCCTATTTCAGACCAAAATATGTGATTTTTCCCTACCCTATTTCGAGACCTGACCCTTAAAATTTCAAGGAAAATTTCCCCATTTTAAAGTCAAAATGGCAAAAAATCTATACACTATTTCAGACCAGTAGGCAAAATATACCCTATTTCAGACCAAAATGGTCAAAATCTATACCCTATTTCAGACCAAAACGACTCAAAAACCATACTGACCCTTTGGCGGCCGCACATACCTATATAGCTTATATAAGGGAGTACCCCCCCGGGTATTCAGCACAGTTCAAAAGTTTTATTATAATCTGTTTAATGCTATCAAGCGGTCCAGCGGTCTTACCTTTACACTCCAAGTGTCTGATTCGTCGTCCGATCCCTCTCCTGCAATTGCAGCTGAACAAACAAAACAAAACAGAGATTTCTATGACTATATTG